ATACTTTACTTTCAAAATCTGTAAGATTTTTACAAGTCTTGAGTTGTAGATACCAATAAATTTTACTATTATATCAGCAAGAGAACTAGTTTTTGGTCATTCCCTCGTTGATCCCTCGTTGATCAGCGAGTGAACTGTTTTTGTCAATTGATGGATTTTTTTTCCGTCGCTAATTTCCGTTGCTGATACTTTGTTTTTAAGTTGTGAGAGTTAATTTCTACACTGGTTATTGTATTGTTTTTATATCCACTTTGAATTATATTACAATAATTAGTTTTTCATCCTTTTTCAACATACAATGATGGGTCCAATTAGGTGGTTCCTTATAACTAAAAACGTAATGATTATGCATCATCACATAAACAAACTTGGCTCCATCGTTGCTGGTATAACTTATACCAGATGATGTTTAACTTTTTGATATTTCGAGCATCTTCAATAACTATGATAAGTACAAATAAACTTTATAGACGTATTATGTTAAAATAGAGAAAAGAAAAAATAAAAAGTATACAATTTTCAAACTTGGAGTTTTAATTGTTGTAGATGTTCTTAGATCCGTAGGGTAACATATACGATGGACAAGTGTATATATTAACGTCTAAGCGTTAGTTTTAATGATTCAAGAACCACACCGCTACGACACTTTTGATTGAAATTTTAAAATGAGTAATAGTTTAGGGACAAAATTTGTAATTTATAAATGAACATTATTGTCTTTGGACAAGTTTTACCACTCAAATTCTTCATCCATATTCAATCAATGTTTATTTTCTATTCTAAAATATAAGTTAATAAAATATACTAAGAAGAATAACTTACAGAAATCATCCCTCGTTTTTGTCATATTATCAAACTGGTTAACTTTTTCGGTAGTCAAATTCGTCGAAAATTCGTTGGAAAATAGTGTTTTCGGTGGATTTGGCCGCCGAAAAATGAGGCGCCAGAGATTTGTATATAGGTATGTATTGCATACATGTATGTGTGTATGTTGGACTCGATAAAAGAATTATTATTCACTATACATACCATGTGGAATATATGTAATATTTTACAAATATATAAAATCTAAAGTATGAAAAATGGAGAAAAAAAAAATTCAAATATCCACCGAAAATTCCCTAGAAAAATAGCCGCCGGAAAACAGTAATATTTTAAAAAAGAATCTTGAAGAATTTATTATATTAAATTACGAGTGGCCACTGGCATCCGCCGGTAATCCGATGATAATTTAAAATAATAAATTATAATCTTTAATTATTTTCCAGCGGATTACCGGCGGACGTTAATCTTACAAAATTAATCAAAAATCCGTTAGAAATCCACCGGCAATTTATTGTACTTAGAGTTAATAATTTCCCAAATATTTAACTTGTATAATCCGTTGGAAATATTGCCGGAATATAAATTATTTCCTTCCCAAATAATTAATGGCGTATTTCTGACGGAAGCCAACGAAAGTTCACTACAAAAATGCTGGGTATCAGCGAGGGAAAATTCCCTCGCTGATCCGTCGCTGAAAAGGGTTTCCGTCGCTGATCCGTCGCTGATACTCCGTCGGTCAAACAGTCGTAGGTAATGCTATTAGCGACGGAAATCAGCGATGGATTTGCGACGGACACTTTCAGCGACGGATCAACGAGGGATGTATTTAGCGACGGATCAGCAACGGATTTGCGAGGGAACTTTCAGCGACGGATTTGCGAGGGAACTTTCAGCGACGGATTTGCGAGGGAACTTTCAGCGACGGATTTGCGAGGGAATTTCAAGCACTTTCAGCGACGGATTTTCCGTCGCTAATCCGTCGCTAAATTGTAAATATAACTTTTAATGCAATTGAGGATTGACCCTCTTAATATAGCGAGGGATCAGCGAGGGAATGTGTTGATTGGTATTTCCCTCGCTGATCCCTCGCTGATCTGCGAGGGAAATTTTCCCTCGCTGATATTCGTCGCTGATACCTGGTTTTCTAGTAGTGGTTGACTTTTTTTATGTCTGTCGAAAATTTGCCACTAATTTTTCCGACGAATTTTTTCACTGAAAATAGTCAGTTTTCTGATAATGTCACTGGTTTTCTAGGTCACACCCCTCAAGCATCCTCTTAAGTAGGGGTGCTCAAAAACCCGACTAACCCGACCAACCCGATCAACCCAACCCAACCCAACGCAAAATAACCTAACCCGAAGCAACCCGATGTCTAATCGAGTTGTAAAATTGTCAAACCGTAGGTATTGGGTTGATATTGGGTTACTATTATTTGAACCCAACCCAACCCGATGAACCCGATATCATTTTATTTATTGGATTTAATATGATTGTTCAATTTCTATTAATATATACATTAGACAATTACATTATTATGTATGCTTTTCATATACACATATTTTCAATCTATTCATATCTCTATATAACTCATTCAGTAACTGTGGACATATATATGTAAATTGAGAAAATTAACTGAATCTGATATACGTAAGAAATATGAATAAGTTGTATCAAATGGTTGATGATAAAAAAGAAATTATAAGTAGAGAAATAACATATTCAAGGTTAGAAGAATATTTTAATATACCAAAGTATCAACCCGACCAACCCGACTAACCCGACCAACCCGTACGGGTTGGGTTGGGTTAGGTTGCACTTTGGTTTGGGTTGGGTTGGGTTAAGATTTTTCCAAACCGCAGGCATTGGGTTGGGTTGTCAAATGTCCTCAACTCGATCAACCCAACCCATGAGCACCCCTACTCTTAAGGTTTAAAGATCCAAACCCACCCTTTTTCTCTTGAATCCGCTTGTTCAGAGGCTTACTAGCAACTTAAAAGGGTCATTATAACATAAATATTAACGCACAAATTTATTAGTTTTTATTATTTTAATTTTATTCCTAAATTCAAGCGTAAATTTTTATTTTTAAAGTTTTGAATTAAGAATCAATATAAATAAAACATAAATAATTAAATATTTGTTAAAAAAAACATTTAGTCAAAATAATAATGATCATTATTAAATTATCAATTATTCATAACTTTTTAAATTATATCATTTTTATAATATTAAAATAATCTAAGAAATTTRAAAYACTACTTATTGTAATAATAATTACATTTTTGAAATCACTATATTTTTAACATGGTTTCAAATATAATATTGCAATTACAGTAAACAATTTTAATTTAATCGAAACTTGTATTTATATTATGATCATGAAAAATTACTTTCAATTGTCAAATTTAAAAATATTTAAATAACTAGGTTAAAATTCTAATATAAATGCGCATATGTGTAATAAAAATATATAATAAAAATAAAAATAGTATATAATATATTTATATAAACCAAACTATATACAAGAATACCCATATATATAGAGGAATGATAAAATACAAACCAAACTATTTATACAAACTGTGAAAACCGTCGACTTTATTATCTACTTTAATAAAAAAAAATTCATGAAATTGTTTAATATGATAAAATTATTTTAAATATACATACATATATATATAAAAGTAATAGTTATATAATATAACTTAAAATAATAAAAATATATAATGGATATAATGTATATATATATATATATATATATGAGTGATCATATGAAAACCATATTCATTTGTGTAAACCGTGCAAATCACCTTCATCTATCATGAAATTAATAGAGTTTGATATTTAATAAAAATAAAGTAATAATAATTTTTAAAACATTCAACACCCCTTGACATGAGATGACAATAAGAATACCCTTGAAAATATTAGGTGTCATTTACCCCATATTGATTAAGACAAAAAGTAGATGGATGATAGAAAGAGCATAGAGTGAACTACATAAATGGTCCACCTATTATGCTCAAATTTTAGATATGGTCTTTAAAATACATTAATTATATTAACCCACTTTTCTTTGAAAGAATAAGAAGAACAAAATTATCTACCACCTCTCCTACTCGGTTATAACCCCTTGTCTCCTTCCTTTTCGGTGAAACCCCACTTGCTACCACTCACCATCACCGTCAACAATTCACCACCACCACGTACCTTCTTCTCTTGATCGAGCTCCAACAAACAAAAGACAGAGAACCATACACGGTAATAGAAGACGAAGAACCAACACGACCAATAAAAGAAAAAGAACCTTCGACAAGCCACCCTCCTTGTAATTCTGTTCCTACACGATGAACACCACCAGAAATCCAATCCGAAGCAAAGCATCAACAACCCGATTCTTGATAGATGCATCAAATACAAAGAGAAATGTAAGTTCGGTTGTAAAACCTAAAGTATAATCTGCCACAGTTCCTCGATTCAAAGTCAAAACCTAAACTCTCAGCTTTGAAGTCGAAATCTTACAACAAATCACCCAAAATTTGGTTGCAAAAGCCTTCATTCAAACATTTCATGAATGAATTTGTATAAATTTGTTCAAGGTTCTTGATATTTTATTCATCACAAATTTCATGAATGGACTTCGAATGATCTTGATTTATCTTCTCAATATATTTATTATTCTTGACATATTGAATTTGTAATAAATTTAGGATTCTCATTTTACATACGTTGTGTTTGATTTGTGACGACGGTGGGTGGTGCAAGTTCAGGATAGATGTAAGAAGTACGTATCTTGATTAACATATCTCAAGTTAACAACGTTAACTCGAAGAACCAATATGTTATAAAAATGTTAAAACAAGAACCATTGTTATACTTGCTATATTTGAGGGACCAAATCTAAAATATGAACACAACATATATGACCATTTATGCAGTTCACACAAAAGATGACTATAGCAATTAGAAAGAGACATAAAAGTTGAGTGGAAAAGTGGTTTATTGCACCTCACCCAACCTGGACTAACCATGTATGTGGGTCCCTTGCAATGGATCAACATGACTTCAATGAACCTTCTTCTCTCTCTCTTTCACTAAAGTACAAACCAGAGTTCAAAACCCTCCACTTTTCTTGATTAGACCAACAATTTTAGTCCCAAATAATTCAAAAAACACATACAAAACACCAAAACACACACTTCCTTTTCATCTTTTGCCGCCACCCACCATGCTCATCTACACCCTCCCTACTCCCCACCTTCTCAAGAATCCCCAATCCATAAACACAAAACCATGAAACCTCCAAACAGATTCTGTTTTCAGAAAATTAATCCATGGAGAACAAGAACATTAATGACAAGAAGAGATCTTTCTTTGCTGTTCTATCTGTTTTCTTGCTTCTGTTAATTTCATTCAATGGAGCTTCTATCTTCTCCATTAAGATCCCTTATCAAGAAAATGTCACTGGAGATTCAGGAAACTTGCTTTCTATGTCGTCGTCTTTGTCAAACTTGATGTATGCTGTAGAAGAAGAAATCCCATCTGAAATTTCGAGAACCCATTTGGGAAAAACGGTGTCCGGTGCCGGAGATTCTATGAGCTTGAACTCTGTACTTCACTCGATGCACGATGTACAGCAAGAACAACAGCAGAAAGAACAACGTATTTCTTTGGTGAAAGAAGAAACCCCACCTGTAATTTCAAATAGCCATTTGCCCCTTTTACGTAAATCCCACAGTCTACGTCTTGAATCTGAGGATTTTCCAAGCAAAAAGAAGAGAATCTTGGAGCTTTTGACTTCCATGGAGTCTTCCGGCGGGCTCCGGCAGGGGGATTTTAGGGCGAGAGTGAAGGAGTTCTTTAGCAAGAACGAAACTTCTTGCAAGGTTCGTTTCTTTATGACCTGGATTTCATCATTGGATTCATTTAGTGACAAAGAATTTCACTCGATTGAAACTTTATTCAACACACACCCGAAAGGGTGTCTGCTAATCGTTTCAAACTCCATGGATTCAAGTAAAGGAAACCAAATTCTGAGACCCTTTTTAGATAAAGGTTTTCGAGTAACAGCAATTTCGCCTGATTTAAACTACCTTCTCAAGAACACAGAGGCAGAATCTTGGTTTTCCAGGATAATTAAAGGCGACATTGATGCTGGGTACGTTCCATTTGGTCAAAACTTATCGAATTTACTTCGGCTTTGTTTGTTGTATAAATATGGTGGTGTTTACATAGATACTGATCTTATTATCATGAAAAGCTTCTCTAAGTTAAAGAATTCAATTGGAGCACAAACATTGGATTTGGGTTCAAAGAATTGGAGCAGGTTGAATAATGCAGTCATGGTGTTCGATAAAATGCATCCATTAGTATACAAATTCATTGAAGAATTCTCATTAACTTTCAATGGAAACAAATGGGGTCACAACGGTCCTTATTTGGTTTCAAGGGTTGTTTCAAGGCTTCAAGGGAGGCCTGGTTATAATTTTACGATTCTACCCCCACCGGCGTTTTATCCAGTGAACTGGAATCGGGTTCGGAACCTTTTTCGTGGGCCTAAAAACGAGACCGATGCGAAATGGTTAAGGGGAAAACTGCGGCAGATTCGAAGCCAGAGTTACGCTGTTCATCTTTGGAATAAACAGAGTAGAAAGCTTCATATCAAAGAAGGAAGCATTCTGAGAAAGATCTTATCAGATCACTGTGTTTTCTGCAATTCATCCACAAATGCTGCACTGTAAGTATAGAATAGAATTCCAAAAAGATTGGATCTTTTGCTATATATGTGGTTATGAATCAACTCAATTCATTCCACATTTTTAGATTGTAGAAATTTTTGTTGAAAAATGATGAAGAAAATTGAACAAAAATTCTTGTTTTCGGGCTTCGTTATTAGATTATATAGTGCTTACAGGGTAAATGCTTACCGAGTGTCACTTATCTTGTGAGCATGGTAAGGACCGAGAATTAATATCCAGCAAGTGGGGGGAAAAAGGAAAGAAAAAAAACTCTTATATGGTAATTGCTTACTAGGTAAAAGACGCTTACCAACAATTAGTTTTAATGGTCGAGAATGTTACCCAATAAGATAAGTAAGGATAGTGACTCTTGCCATTAAGCGCTTACCTAAAGAGTCGTAACTCTTCATTCTATCCCAAATTTAGGGATCTTTTGAGGAGAAGAACAAACAAATTAGAAGTTTTAAGGGTTGTTCTTTTTGTTATATATATGGTTATGAATTAACTCAATTCATTTCGTCCGGAGGTAGGGTTTGAAGGTAAGACCGTAATATGTACCAAAATGGAATTTAACGAGTCAGAAAAAACCTAGCCGTGTTTTGGTTAATCGACATGTTTTTGTTGTAACAACTCATTCCAGATAGAAAATGGGATTTGTGAGATCCTTATAATCCTCAAATTGTGGGCTACCAATTACTTTTATCATGATTTTAAGTTAGATTCGAAGTCATTGGGTCAGTCTATTGCTTTGGGCTTAGGTGTGCTACAAATGGGATCAGAGTCGATTCTTGTACCATCGAATGGTAGGGCAAACCTATTCGGGTATGATGAGTCCTCGATGTGGGGTGTTCGTAACATCCTAGACGAATCCTACATCGCCAATTACAAGGAGGAAGATTTTGGGCAGGCCTGATGATGACGTGAGGAGTTTAAGTAAGGGAGTTTGTAACAACTCGTTTCACATGGATAGAAAATGAGATTTGTGGCTCCTTATAAGCCTCAAGTTGTGAGCTACCAAAATAGATTCGGAGTTATTCAGCCAGCTTGTTGCTTCGGGTTTGGGTTGTTACATCTATTTTCTACGTATTATCGAACCTTATCATAGCAATTACGCTATATTAACTTGTATATCGTGCATTCGGGAGTTGTACATCTTTGTTTTAGAAAAAAAAAATGTTGAGCCTTTCATCTCTATTGAATAACATGCATGTATACAAGTTCTTTAGTTTATTTGTACAGTTTTATCTGTTATCTTCGGTGCTCGAATCCTGAAACAGTAAGTGCATAATGATTTATATATATATATATATATATATCATGCTCTAGAAGTAACACGTCGTATCAAATTTGTTGTTTATGTGTATCAGAAGATCCACCTTTACTTTCGTGTGCATATCAGTTTTATGATTCAACCACCTTTTATGGTTGCAAATTAGGTGGCAAATTGAACTTTTTACATGAGCATTGTATGAATGATTCACCTGATGATCATTGACGTAAAATGACAAATATACCGTAGATAAATAAAAATTCATGTGCTAATGGAAATGCAAGTAAATCAAGTTTTGATTAGATGTTTTGTGGTCTAATAAACTTAAAACTACAACAGTCCCATTTTTATTTTATCACATGGTGTAAAATGACAAAATTACCCTCGATAAACTACACTTGCTAATCGAAAGACCAAGTAAATCAAGCTTTGATTCGATATTATGTGATCTAATAAACTTGAATCTACACTGTTCCCATTTTTTATTTATCATATGATGTAAAATGACAAAAATACCCTCGATAAATGTACATTTGTGGATGAATGTACATATAAAATCAAGTTTCGGTTAGATATTTTGTGATCTATTAAACTTAAAAACTACAATGGTCCCTATCTTCAATTTATCATATGATGTAAGATGACAAAACCTCCTATGTGTCTTGTAATGTACAATGACGAAACTACCCTTGAAGAATTCAACATGCTAATAATGGATAAAGCAAAAGTACCACCTCCAATTTGGCACAAGAGGAGGGGTCCATGTTGTATATGGACAAGAGTTATAGCACATGGATGTGCTAGAAATTGTTGTCTTTTCAAACCTTTTTTTTAATTGCAAGTGTATTGATATGGTATAATAAATCAATTAAATTTTAATTAATAATATTTATATATATATTTTGTATGTAATTTATTTTTGTGTTAAGTTGAGATATGTAGAATGTCTGAAATATGACAAAGAACCATAATCGAAACGGTAAATATATACCAAACTGAGACAAAACAGAAGCACATAAGACGTATAATGTGTTAAATTTTAGAGAAAGTTCGTATATTTCTTGATTTTTACTCATATATTATTCAAAAGAGCTTTTATAAGTGACTTTATTTATTTTTAACAGGAGAGCCAAGAATTTTCGAAACTAAAATAAAATATAATAATAAAAACGTAAATTCTTTTAAAAAAATTAAAAACATAAATTCATTCGGAAAAAAAACACATTAGAAACATAATTATCTGTTTCCTAAATGAAGGCGTGAAAATAAGAAACTGCTAATTTTATACAATTTTCTTAGCTTTAAACTAAATACATAAAAAGGGAAAATCATATGTCTTAGTTAGAAAGACAGACAAATTCTAACAACATTTATTGCATTTATTCTAACACGAAATGAATATATTCTGTTTTTCGACAAAGTTTTTTCTAACGACATACACAACGAATTACGTCTATAAAATGAATCAGTGTGCATATTTATGGAATAATATGATCAGATTAACCATTTTAAATAGATAAACTAATAAAATTTATATCTGTATCAAGAAATCTGATAAGAAATAGTCTGTTGAGAATTCTTAGATCCTTGACTAGGGGTGAGCAGCGAAACCGGGTACCCAGCTATGGAATCGGAACCGCCTTGGAACCGCCGGTTCCGGAACCGGAACCGATATGAGTGGTTCCGGTTCCTAAAATACGGAACCGATTGAGAATGGTTCCGGTTCCGATTCTCAATTTTTCGGAACCGTTACCCGCCGGGTACCCGGTATTTTTCAATAAAAAAAATAATTATTATTTTCTAATACCAAATTTATATTAGGTTTACATCTTGAAAGCACGCGTCATCTTCATTCTTCATCTAAATTCTTCATATAGAATGATTCGTATTTCTTCAAATTGTGTGTTCATTTGGATTCATAGTATGTAATCGTTAAACTTTGAACATTTACTATTATAGTATGTAATCGTTAAACTTTGAACATTTACTATTATATTATGTAATCGTTAAACTTTGAACATTTACTATTATATTATGTAATCGTTAAACTTTGAACATTTTCTATCAGTCTATTATGATTTGTAATCGTTAAACAATATTTGTAACCATTATTCTGTATAATTTGTATTCTTGCTTATTTATTTAAGTGTTTTGGCAATGTTTTATTTTTTTATTTCTAAATAACAAAATTTTAATATTTTAGGAAGCGGGTACCCGAAACAGGAACCTGTTCCCGGCGGTTCCGGTTCCGGTTCCGGTTCCAAAAATTTAAGAACCGCTCTAACCGGTTCCGGTTACAATATCTCAAGAACCGCCGGTTCCGGTTCTGGTTCCCATAAAAAAGGACGGGTACCCGTCTGTGCTCACCCCTATCCTTGACCGAGTACAAATGTTGGAAACTGAATTAATATTGTTTTTATGAATTGACTCGATTTACAGTTTACATGTTCAATCTTACCCCTTAAATAAAACACTTCGTAACCCTAAAGTTAGTTATTGGAAATCATCACGAAACAACGGTTTAAAATCCATCCGTTAAGTATTCTTTATTTCTTAATTTGGGTCAAGCGTAAGATTTGATTTAGATTTATTACTTTTAACTTAGAATAGAAAATAAACATTGATTGAATATGAATGAAACACGTTAGAGGTTGAAGTGTTCCATTATTACTTAATCCGCAAGTTTTAACTATAATAAAACTGGATTTATAGGACGTTATCAATTCTTAAGGATTCTGATAGACTGTTTTATAAACTTAATTTATATGACCAAAAATAACGCATCATGTCTAAAGACGTTGTAATAAAATATAGAACGCTTTTGGACGTCTTAACAAGTTTTTGGCACCCTTTTAATACAAAGCGTCGCATCAACTATTTATAGCACAATTAAATTAAGATTATTATTTTTATAAAGCATTTTTTTAAATAGTGTCATATAAAATGGTCAATAGTATCATACCAACTATTTAAACTTGGTTGGTATGGATATTAGAAGTCATGTATTACGGTAATACTACTGCACTGACTTATTTTTGACATTTTATGAAAATAAATAAATTACATAATTAGATTGCAATGCAAAAATATTGATTTTAGCTTTTTTAAAATGAATAATTTACAGAAAGAACTCTAAAAAAACCATATAACTTTGTTCAATGGTGGACCTATAAATTCCTTTAAATGAGTGCATCTATAAGGTGAATCAAGGACTCGTAAAGTTGCATTTTGATTTGAGGGAAGTCTATACTGTTTGATCAAGGGAAAAGTCAATTATGTCGACTTTAAGGAATAAAATATATTTTTTAAGTGGAACGGACCTTGACATTTAAAATAAACGTACGTTTAATTAAAAACGAGAAAAGACATGTTTTTAAGATGAATTGGCAATTGGAAGGAAAATAAGTCATGAAGAAAAACTATAAAATCAAAACACGTTTTTTTTAACAAAAAGCTGCTTTGGCATTATGGAAGTTTTATCTATAATTATATTTGAGGTTGTGAGTTCAATCCCTCTGGTTATATTTTTGTTGTTAATATTTTTATAATAACATTGTACGACGTGAGTTAATGTCGACCGGCCCTGAGAGTCGAGACTTAAAAGATGAAAATTTAACTTTTCGTTATAAATAAGATTCAAACTCAAGACCTCTTGTATATCGAGTATTAATCGAACCATTTCACTCATATTTGATTTATGTTTAAATATGGTTTGAAGTAATTGTAGTGCACCCTCAATATCAAGTGGGCACACTTTTAAAACGTTTAAGTTTTTTCTCTTACAATAATCGTGTTTGTGGTAGCACATGAAGGTTTGCCCCTGAATTTTTTATTAACCAAGAACTAAACATAAATCATCAATCACTATTATGAATTGTCAAGACACCAAAAAGTGTCTTAATAAATTTGTCAAGACACCAAAAAGCGTCTTATAAACTTATTACAACGCTTATAAACGCAGTTTTATTGTAGTGTATCTTAAAAAGTGTTATGGGCCTTTTTCGTAACAATATAAAAAACATTCTAAATTAGATCTTTTTATAAATATTCCATTCCATAATCCAAATTAATTGGGATATCAGAAATTGAATCATGATATTTCGTGCACATTTCTAAAACAATAAATTAATTGGGTAGTAATTAAACCCGTAAACCATATTATTTACTTGACCAATTCGATTAGGGTTTTTATTTTCAAGAACAAAAATAATTAGACTTTAAGTAATAATTAATAAATATTGAAATTAATTTTTTTTGAAAAAGTCAAAGTGACAATGGGTGAAAAACGCTATATAAAACCACAACCGTAAAACCAAAAACTCAAACCAACACCTTTGCTTCGAACACATACAATCTTAATTCATTCTTCTATTTCTTCGTGAAAAAATGGATCAAATTAAGCACAAGTTCATCCAAGCTGGCGAGCTGAGGCTACACGTAGCAGAGATTGGGGAAGAATCATCGCCGGTGGTGCTTTTCCTTCATGGATTTCCCGAGATATGGTACACATGGCGCTACCAAATGGTGGCTGTTGCAAATGCCGGTTTCAGAGCCATTGCACCGGATTACAGAGGTTTTGGACTATCTGATGTCCCTGCAGAACCTGAGAAGACGACATTTGCTGCTTTGATCGAAGATATTACCACCATTCTGTGTTCTCTCGCCATATCTAAGGTGTATATATATATACTATATACATATCATTGTCTATGTTTTTGGTTATTCAAAATATGTATACAAATTATGGATGCCAACATTTAACATTGATTTACCCATGAAGGTGTTCGTCATTGGTAAAGATTTTGGATCAATGGTTGGCTACATATTTGCGGTTTTCTTCCCAAAGAAACTGGCAGGAATCATAACACTTGGTATTCCATATATGCCCCCTCAAGTTTTGCAGCAACTTCAAACCCTCCCTGAAGGGTTCTACATGCGAAGATGGCAGGTACACACCCTTTCTCACCTCTCTAATTCTTTAAATCCCAACTCCATTTTAATTAACAATATAACTGAAATCTTTATTAGGAACCTGGAAGAGCTGAAGCTGACTTCGGCCGGTATGATGCTAAAACTGTGGTGAGAAAAATCTATATTTTGTTCTCTAGAAGTGAGGTACCCATAGCCAGTGAAAACCAGGAAATATTGGATTTAGTGGAACCGTGGGCTCCTTTACCCTGTTGGTTCACAGAGAAAGATCTTGAGATCTATGGTGCTTTGTATGCGAAGTCTGGATTCCAAACTGCGCTCCAAGTTCCTTATAGGTAACTGAACATATCATGTTAACATGGAAAGTAAGATCATCACTTAATTATCTTGATTTGAAGGATGTGACATATTTGTTTTTGTTGGATCTATCAACCCTCACATCTATCCCTTAAATATCATTTTCAATTATGCCATAATCATATAAGATATTTCATATGAGCAAAATACAAAACAATGATTAAAATGTAAACTAAAATGCTCTCTACAAAACAAAAATATGAAATTTACAAATTTTTATCTGAAACAATAATACAAATATAACTAACATGTCATTTTTAATATTTTTCATGGGTTTTTCTGTAACTCGTTTAGGTTAAAGTCTTGAATTACGTTAACCATGTGTGCAAAAATTCATTCCAACTTTCATGGGAACAATAATAGTTACAATCTCCAAAGTTGAAAATTAGGTTGTATGATCTCAATTGATGTATTATTTATCTTGTAAGATGAGTAGTAACCACAAAGCAACCTATTTTTATGTTTAAAAGTAACCCGATAGCAAGGTGATGTTCGATCTTGTAACTCTTTGGCCTTTTTGCACGTTTGTTTATATGTTCTATTCAATTTCGTCAATCGTTGTAGGTCATTACAAGAGAGAGTTGAACCTCCAAACCAAGACCCGAATAATCTAAGAATTGAAGCTCCGGCATTGTTCATCACAGGAACAGAAGATTTCTTTTTCAACATTCCTGGAATACAAGAATACTTGAAGAATGGGGTCAAGAATTATGTGCCGAACCTAGAAATCATATACTTGCCCAAAGGTTCTCATTTTGTTCCTGAACAATTCCCGCACAAAGTGAATCAACTCCTAATCAATTTTCTCAACTGCAACAAATATTAGTGCCTTGAAACTTCCTTCTAGGTGACCCAAAAAATATAAAGTTTAAGTTTAAACGTATTTACGTATTTTCTAAATAATCATAATGTATTTAGTTAACAGACATATGATAAATAATTTCAGCCATACTTTACTTTTCCTCAATGTAATAAATTGTTGAATTATGTTTAGCGTTGTTCACGTAATTTATGACCTGTTTGTCAAATCAAGTGCAAAACTTCTGGAACTCGTAAAATAATTTTCACCCAACTAACAAAAATCGTAAGTGGTACGATGCTCATGAAGGGAATGACTTCTCATTTAGTATAGCAGTTATATATCAGTCGTTGAACTTGACTTTTGATAATAAAGATCGGAAATACCTTTTCTTCATATCACTCTCTCGAGCATGATACATAATGTTATACTCTTGAAAACTATTATTACTTGATATTGATATTTCATATGGCGAAAAGCATAGTCTTCTTTTATTCTCTCAAATAAAAGTCGCGTCAAGCGTGAGGGAAATTTTAATTTATGAGACCCTTTTTTGAATCTCGTGACCATTATTTCTTCTAACCGGAAGAAAAATGCAAACTTTTGTCCACCAAACTGAAATTGGTTTTAGTCGGTTTGATTGATTTAACACTCACGTTTTACAAAAATGCGAGAACAACCATCTAGACCCCAAATTAATTAACACATAATAAAAATCAGAATAAATAAAAATAAACTAGTATTTATCAATAATTTTCTGTTATCTTAGATTTATCCTTATCGTTTAAATGTTGCTAGTATCATCGGAGACTTCTTATGTCAATGTGTCTGTTGACGATAATGATATGATTTTGATGTGATAATGCTTTAATAAATTTAAAAAAAAAATTATGATATGATTTTACTGTAATAATCATCTGATAAATTATGTGATTATTGCGATAACACAATATGATAATGTCTTGATAATCGAAAACCAATGATGATCACGTCTACAATCATCGGTCTACCAGATCACTATGTGATTTTGTTGTGATAATAATGTGATAATGATTTGATATCAATGATTATATTATTTGTATGTAATTTTAGGAATATGGATGTCACCAAGATTACAGATAAATACAAAATCACATGATTATCCTTAATTAATTATTTCATTTCTTTTAATTTTAATTACTGGTTATATATTTTCTGGAGGCCTATAAATGTTCTTACATTTCCGTTAAATAATAGTATTCTCGTTTGAACCTCCACCTATATATATATAGAGAGAGAGAGAGAGAAAGAGAGAGAGAGAGAGGTTGATTATTATACAACCCTTGACATTTGTGCAACCAATACAACTCAATCTCAACCGTTCATTTCATTTGATCCACGTTAAAGTTTTCATCGAAGAACAATCATCTCCACCCCGTAGGAACTACAAGATTATCCTGAATGTTTGTTTTGAATGCGATGATTTTGGCAAAAAGAAAATGAGATATATTTTTAATAAAGTTGGTTGTCGGAATAAGAATTGATGTATTCATGCATCGCTTGCTTTTGATTTACAATAAATTGTTGAATTATTAATTGAATTTGAACGAAATGCAAAGCTGAAGTGGTCCTAAGAGGAGACTAATGTTTTCCAAGGGTAAATTACAAATCTTGACCATGAATTCAAAGGTTG